TGATCCACGGACACTTCAGCTATATCTGAGAGAAAACAAAACAGAAACAAACTGATGAAAGTGGGAATAAGGACATCCTCAAGGTACAAAGTAGCGTTCCTTCAGATCCCTCCTGCTATCAGGAAGCTAAAACATTTTAACCACCACTGAGTCTTTATAACTCTGCTTTTATTTGCACTTTTGACCCTCCTGTTAAATAGTCTGTTGATTTTTATGCAATATATTAATGAATTTAGTTCTCTACATGCTCCTACTGGGCTGCACATCACTTTTTGTCTGAATGTTTTTTTTAATAATAACTGCACAGTATTATTTTCCTTATGTTGTAAAGGTCTTGTTACTTTACAGAGTCTTAATCTTGAATGAGTTAGACATTGCTTGAATTTATGTAAGACTGATTTAGAAAATGAACAACATATTATAGCATAAACCTGAAAGATTTAAATAGTTTAATAAAAATAATCTACAGAATGTGCCAATGTTTTTATCCGATTAAATCGATTGTCGGAGTAATAATAGGATAATTGATTAATATAACTGTCAGTTGCAGCCTTGCTGCAGTATAAACAGAATTTATTCTGAGGATTTTTACACATGTTCATTTAAAACAAGGTCAAAAGTCGTGGTGGTCACAAATTTTTGTTTCCAAATGTACAGATTAAATAATTTTCCAGAGGTGAAACCACCGAGGGGAAGATTGTCTTGCCATTTTGGGACTAAAGTCAGACCAGAGGTCAGAGGTCAGTCTGTGAAGAGTGGTTACCTGCACAGACGATGTGACTGATGCCTCCTCTTCTCCACTTCAACAAGTCTCCTCCTTTTCCACAGCCCAGGTCCAACACAGACACATTCCTGCTCCCTGCGCTTCGCACCTGGTCCAGGATCTCCCCTGTTAGCGGAGAAGAAGGAAAATAAACACCTGTGGTTTCCACGATGCAAAAGATTCAGACAGGATCCAGGAATAAATAAATCGAAGCTTAGTGCAAGGCTAAGGACCAGGACATTTTATGAAATAATTTAAAACTGTTCTGTATGTTTTATCAGTGCCTGGTTGATCTAATCAGTCATGACTCCAACTGAGATTTCTGTAAAAGACGGAATACATAAAAAACAACAAAGAGTCCTAATTATTATGGAAATGTGAATAAGCTTTTATTTTTTACTAGTTTTTTGTGATACGTTTTTGTTCAGTTAAACCGAAGCATTTTTAAAAGGGAGATTTTGGACGAGGTTGTTAGTTTTGCACATAATGTTTGAGTTCTTTACAAAAATAAAGGGGAAAACGAGAATCGGGCATTTGTCATATTGTTAATCCATTTCCATTTGATGTTTGAGAAGTCTTAAAATTGTCCCGATTGTTATTTTTTTACTATTTTTCTTCACTGCTTTTTCAAGAAAGGTGTATCAATAAATAGCAATAAATGGTGAAAATATGATTTTATGCAGTTATTGTGTGCATTTTAGTGATAAAAGTCACATTTTTATGATTACAAAGTGGCTTTAAAGAGCAGTATTTGTTTTTGTGGGGCCGTCATAAGACTATTTCATTAGCCAGACAGTATTGATCATTGATCACTTACCAATCAGAACACTCTTCATCCAGTTGTTGAAGTTCCTCATGTAGAAGATCCTGCTTTGACTTCGAACCACCAGTCCGACTTCCTGTAGCGTGTTGTAGTGACTCGCCACCTTTTCACCATGATCGCTCACCTGGATGATCGATAATAGATCAATAACTGCTGTGGGACACTTTAACTGCAAGGCATGGAATAGCCACAGAAGATTAGGATTGAAACGATTAATGTGATGAATAAATTATTGAAATAATTATTAACTGGATTATACAAAGTCAAAAACAGACAATTTTCTGATGAAAACAAGACTCAGATCAGTACTGAAGCAAAAACTGTTCAATATATGTATAAATATTTTAAATTTAAGATAAAAACATATTTGTTTGTAAATATGTTTAAGCCAAAACCCCTCAACTGGCAGTTTTAGCTTCACCGGGTTCAAATTCATTAAAATAATGTTACATTATTGCATTTTCTTAGGGGCTATTTTCGAGAGAAAAACAACATATTAAGGATAGAAATTAAGCCATGACTGTGCAAAGTAACATCTTTTTTTTTTTGAGAAAAAAAAAACATCTTTGTCTGTAATTGTTTTACCCAAAACTCTTCAAAACATTTTTCATATTCACCTGATTCTAATTCACAAAAGATTTCATTTTAGCCAGTAAAACTTTTATTTTAAAAAGGAACTGAATTGCATATTTGGACAATTTCATGTATCTTTAATATTGTATAAAAAGGCATAAGCAGTTAAATGTAATGTCTATAAAATATACCAATTTATTTCATCCCATTCATCAATAGAATTAGTTGCTGCCCTACAGAAGACGGTGACAAGGGTAAGTCAGTGAGCCTACCAGCTTCTTATTGGGGGAAGTTTCTTCCTCAGCCTCCTCTTCCTCATGTCTTCTCTTCATCCTGGTCTTCTGATCCAGTTCTCTTCCTCCTCCTACTTCCTCTTCATTCGCTCCTCCCTGTTTTTGTTCTGCCTGCTCCATTATTTCTGCTAGGAAAGAACACAAGTCAAACTCAAACTTAGAAGCATCAACGCCACAGAATCAGACCATCACATCATTAGAACCTAAAGGTTCTGCTTTTTAACCCCGTCACTATAATCAATCATGTGATAAATTCAAATGAGCTCAATGATTTACAATTTGATTATTAATTTGTTTTTTTAAGTTAAAAAACAGCAACTGGAAGCAAAACCTCCATCTTACCAAACAAACATAAGCTAAATAACAGCAAAAGATGAAAAAGAAAGTTTGAAAAATACATATTCAACAATCAGACAATATTCTCCTATATTTGCTTCAACAAAATCTGTTCTACTTGATCAACTTCTTTCAATTAACTTTATTTTTTTTAAATCTAATGTCTGATTTCAATGACTTCATCTCCAAATTGCTTATGCAAACATTTCAAGTTGCACAGTACATTGAAGTGCAGTACATGATATTAGAAGTGCCAACCTTTTTTACTCAATTTCTATTTGAAAAAACAGATTTTGGCAAAAATAAATAAAAATCCAACCATGTGTCAAAAACCTTAAAAATATTAAACTCAAATAAAAACAATGATCACATAAAAAGCCATCAGATGAACGTCACTGTCATTTCACTTGGTTTATTGCGTATTATTTATGTTTTGTACGTATTTCTGATTTATCTCATGACGGTGGACGTCAGGTTCTGTTGCCATGGAGACGTTGAGCGTGACAACTTATTGACCCCAGATCACTTTTAAACGAGATTTTTAATCCTAATTAGATTTGCCAGTAACATGAAAAAAATTTAAAAGTCGTGACACAATTGCTGAATTTTTTTTTTAGAAAAATAACCACCAATCTTTTTCTCACTTTTATATCATCACGATGTCCTTACAACTGATCAAGTATCGATAATGGGCATCAGCAGCGGCAAAAAGTCGAATAACAGGTCAGACGTGTCACAGAGACTCACACCATTGTTAGAAGTTTAATTTGTAAACAAGTCGAGTCGGTTATCACGACTCCCTACGAGACAGAAATCACCATTTTGACTGAAATTAGCCTCGAACTTCCTAGTAGCAGGATTAATACGATTAAAAGACAAATGACGAAAGACTGACGGTTAATTTCCATTTTATTTTCGGGTTTCGTTGAACACCCTGGTCTTAACGTATGTATGTAATCCTGGAGGATAATCCAGCCTGTTCTCAGTCACCAACTACTTTCACCTGCGAGCATTAGCGACCAGCAGTTAGCTAGCTTACGCTAACCAGCTTGTTTTCCGTAAATGTTGGGAAAACAACATTTATGGCGCCGAAGATGAATCTCAAATAGGCGGAATTAACGACGAACAGCTGTCTGATGCCAGATGGTACCAGAAACACAGACAGGGTCAAAGCTAAGTAGGCATATTTACGCCAAAAGTTACAAAAAGACACATTTTACTCACTGTAATCTGTAGAAAGTACACATGCGCAGTGGGCAGCTTCCGCTCTCTGAACCGTTTCCTCTTCTTCTTGGCAAACAACGATGAGGTGATGCATCATCGCCACCAACTGGCTTGGAGTGTGGACAGGAACGTGTGCGCAAATAAATAAATAAATAAATAATAAATAAATAATAAATAAATAAATAAATAAATAAATAAATAAATAAATAAATAAATAAATAAATAAATAAATAAATAGTCTCTCGATTCAGATTTTTTTGTATCCCAAATGGGCAATTGATGTTACAGCAAGTACAAATGACTAAAAGACAACATATCAAAGATTCAAAAATAAAAACAAAACCAAAACATACATAAAAAGGACATAAAATACCAATCAATACATGATGGAAAAAGCACACCAGTGTATTTCATCAATGACTGACAGTTGCCACAAACACCAAATCAGGTGCAGGTCCCTCTAACTTGTCCTGCATTAAACATAGATGTGTCTGTAGGAACAAAAGAGTGCTTGTGTCTGTTACTTTTCTTACTAGGAGGTCTGCCTGATGCCAGAAGGCAGAAACTGGAACTCAACAAAGGATGAGAAGTATCAGTAATAATGGGTTTAGTTTTCCCTAATGATTTGACGTTCAACGTTAAATGGTTGAAGAAGGTGTCATAATATATCAAGCATATATTTCTAGACATTTCCATTAGACTTTTTTTTCTGTAACTCTCTCCTGAATTGGGAAATTGCGCGTTGTTACCTTCCTGACAAAGGAAAACGAGAATTTGAAGGGCGTCAGAAAGAAGAGGAGATAAGTAAGTCTACAATGAGAATATCTTACTGGTATCCTACTGGTTTGCAAAATGTCGGAAATATGAGTCAGAGAACATTAACCATGGATTTACAGAGTTTTAGAAAGATAAAGTTGAAGACGTCCTAAGAAACATTTCGATGTGATTCTCATATGATCCAGAGGGTGGCGGTAAAGCGGCAATGTTGATGCCGACAGTCATAAAACCCTGAAGAAGAAGAGGAAGAAGAATACAAAGCGGAAGTGATAGCTGAAAACAATGTCTTCAGTAGAGCTTCGTCGAGAGCTTATAACTCATACTGAAGAAACATTCACAGAGTTTAAAGAAATTGTCATCAAGACCGAGGAAGAGATGGATTTTACCCGGACGGCCTTAAACCGAACAGGTACGAAACACCTGGATGACAGACGGACAGCGGATCTGTCTGTTTACACGCCTGAGTTTTTTACATGTTGATTTCTGTCTTAAACGATTTCTTCGATGAAGTTAACAATTCCTATTTTTATCTGTTTTATTGTCCAGACCACCTGCAGCATAACATTGATAAGCCATGTAAACAGGAGAGGAGCTTCACTCCAGACCAGGAGGAATTGGAATCTCTGCAGGTGAAGCAGGAAGATGAAAAGACAGAGTATCAGCAAATCAAAGAAGAGCAGGAGGAGCTTGATTATTTGCAGATAAAAGTGGAAGAGGACGAAGTTTACTACAGTCAGGGTGAAGAACAACTTGCATTGAAACAGGAGGCTGATGCATGTTATGAGCAAACATGTCAGACTGAACCAGAACCACACAGGACTCGAACCATCTTTCAGGAAGCTGCAGAAGCTGAGAACCAAAACCAGGAAAGAAGCAATGATAACAACTTCGAAGCAAAAAGAGATGAAGAGAAGAAACAGAAGAGGCATCAGAAAACCAGAGGGTATGGTGACAGTTCAAAGCAAAAAGGTCCTGAAAATCTTCCTCAAAGTAGTGACGTGAGTAAAAAGACATGTGAGAGGCCTGTCTCAACTAGGAAGCGTTTCAGCCGGAAAGATAAATTAAATTGTCACATGTCAGACCACACAGGCGAGAAACCTCTTCTATGTGTGAACTGTGGAAAAGGTTTCAGTTGTAATAGTGACTTAACTGTCCACATGAGAGTTCATACAGGTGAAAAACCATTTCTGTGTGTCAAGTGTGGAAGGAGTTTCAGTAGAAGAAGTAATCTAACTGTTCACATGAAAGCTCACACAGGTGAAAAGCAATTCCAGTGTATTACCTGTGGCAAACATTTTATTTCAAAAGGTTCTTTGATTATTCACGTGAGAAGGCACACAGGTGAGAAGCCTTTCCAATGTAAGACCTGTGGTAAACGGTTTGTTGATCAATATTCTGTGAATCTTCACATGAGGAGTCACTCGGTGTTGAAGCCTTATATTTGTGTGAACTGTGGAAAAAGTTTTGCTCAGAAACAGAATTTAACAAGTCACATGATGATTCACACAGGTGAAAAGCCTTTTTCGTGTGAGACCTGTGGAAAATGTTTCAGTCAAAAGGGTATTTTAACTCGTCACATGCTGATTCACACAGGCGAGAGGCCTTTTCAGTGTCTGACTTGTGGAAAAGGTTTCAATCAAAAATGTAGCTTAACTGATCACATGACAATTCACACAGGTGAGAAGCCTTTTTCATGCTCAGCTTGTGGAAAAGGTTTCAGTCGGAGGCATGCTTTAACTAAGCACATGAAAGCCCATGTGCTTAGTTAAATAAAAATCTGCTGTAGTCCAAGTAAGTCATCTAAAACATACTTGAGTAAAAGGTACTTAGTCACCTTGTAATAACTTTTTAAGAAAACACTCCCTAAATGCATCACTTAAGAAGGAAAAGTAGTCGTAATTTGAGAAGTATTTTTTATGTATGATGTTAAAGTTCACTGTAAAATCATTTGGATAAAAACCAGAATGAAAGGAGGACTTTCTTGTTTCAAATTTCAAATTAACTTTTCCCTCAGGAACTCACACATATTAAAGACCTCTAACTTTCTAGTTTGTGGAAAAGATCAACTGTGATCATTTGATGATTAGTAACCTCATTGACCAGAAGTTTTAATAGCATGATTGTTGTAAAATAATCTGGTTTTGGCGGGACTTGGACATTTCCAGTAAAAAAAAAATTTTAGTTTGCATTTAACCTTAAAATTGAAACACAAGTTTTGTTTTTAAACTGAGATTAAAACTGTTTGTCATTTATTTGACATTTTAATAACCAATATGATTACTTATTTAAAAGCTATTCCACTCTTAAATTCATTTATTGTTTTTTGTTTGTACAAAGGATCTGTGGTTATCTTCAATAAATGGGCATGCCTTTCTTTTTGGTATTCCAGTTTTTCTCAGTCATTTTGGTGCATTTCTTGAACCAATTGCTATTTAAGTTGAACTGCTGTTCTTACATTTTGTTTACTTAACATGTACTTCAGACCTTGTTGTATTAACTTAATTGTGTCAAGTTAATTTAACTTAAGTGAAGTTGTTTCAACTTCAAAATAGCAAGCAAATGATCCTCTTAACTCAATTACATCAAGTTAGTCCAACTTACATGAACAGTACAGTTTACTGAGCAGAATCTATGAAACAGATTGCCTTACATAAATTAAGAAACCACAACTAAAGATTTTAAGTTCACAAGATTCAATGTTTTATTTTAACAAAATGATATACTTATTGTAGCATAACAGTCAATAACCCAACAGGAACCTGGATAAAGTCTGACATGGCATCTGAATCCTGTAGATAATAAGAAAAGTACAAATTAAAAAAAGAACGAGGTGAAGTTTTGATTTTTTTTTCACAACCTCTGACAAAGGGAATAGCAATACATTCAAGAGACATTGTATAATTCTTTCATCGTTCTCGATGAAAACTGAGAGATCAACAATAAAAGCAAAAGCATATTCTGAAGAAACTAGATCACATTTTTTCACAACAGTTGCTCACTGTCAATTGTTTTCTGAGTAAAACTCAGAAACTGTACAGAATATTGATGGCTGTACAGTTAAAGGAGCAACTGCAATTTTCCAACCTGGTATCAGCTCATTGTTATATTAATGCCATAGATTGTTGCTCAATTGTTCATTATTTTAACAACTAACTGTGTTTTTTCCAGTCTCAATCGCCCAAATATCACCAATACAAATTCTCCACCTCCAAACAAGAATCTTGGGAAGTGCATTGTGAACGACTGAATGCAGGACAGGAGATCCCACTTTCCACTCCACTGGTGAACTCTGCAAAAACAGTCACAGTCAAACCCAGCTCCAGAGGAATTTTGCTGATTTTGGGGTGCCACCGTAAATTGGCCTTTCATTTAATATAAATACATAAACAACTTTGTGTTTGTCAATACAAAAAAAAAACTAATTATGTAAATACTAACATGTAGAAAATGCTAAGCAACTATGCTCAGATTTGCATAAACGTATGCTCACATGTTGCAGAAGTCTAAGAATCTGTTTCCAATCACTTAAGTCTATTTCTTGATACAAAATCAACCAAGCATAAGTATCAATAGCTCATAATATTACTACTTCCACTAGTAAGTATTATTAGGACTACTACTGTTAGTAAAAGTGAAAAGTTCAGTGTTACTCCCATAATTGTAACCAATTGTTCTTAACTAGTTTAACATATATATATATATATATATATATATATATATATATATATATATATATATATATATATATATATATATATATATATATGTACTTTTTATGAAAAAGGTTTCCTTCTTTCATGATGTTGGTTTTCAGTTTCATCAGGCTTTTTTAAGATGTCTTGGTTCCCATTTGGTTCTGATTCAGTTTGGTATGTTTGATCATCAACAGGAGCCACCATGCAGGTATCAGTCTCCTGTTTTATATATATATATATATATATATATATATATATATATATATATATATATATATATATATATATATATATATATATATATATATATATATGTTAGCTACTATATATTAGCAAACAGCTACTTTACTTCCTCTATTTGTTTAGAAAAAAAGCAACTGTGCAAAGATTTTTTGTCGTTAATTGGTTTTGTGCCAAGACTCTAACGCACCAGTGTCCACCTCTGCACAGCAACACGTCTTCGTGAAAGCGTCTTGTGTTGCATGTAAAGGTGGCTCGGAAAAACACTTGACTACATTTTAGCAACGGCTGGAAAAGTGCGGTAAACAAACGGCACATATATTGGAGGTACAGGAGCGCTTCCCGTATCAAATAATAGAAAGTTCGCCACTTGGAGATTAAAAAGTATAAATAAAAATACTAAATAAAATGAACAACTTCGAAGCTAGGGCGGGTCGGTGGCGGAGCTAGACTCTTTTTCAAGGCCGTGGTTCACCTTTAAAAGGGTTTATTCTGACAAGAATAACAAATAGGAAATAGCCGTGTTACAGGCTGCCCACTCCAAGCCCTCTCCCACAGGACAACATGACAAAAGGGCGGGTCTTAGCTCACAACATGTTAAATATGCAAAATAAACCTTTCTATACAACATACCTGACAAGAATAACAAATAGGAAATAGCCGTGTTACAGGCTGCCCGCTCCAAGCCCTACATAAACAAAAGTACATAACAGAAATTAACTTAATAAATCTATAAATAAACTGGATGTATTTAGATACAAAATAAATAATACACACCTCTCCCACAGGACAACATGACAAAAGGGGAGGGTCTAAGGGACGCAAACATTTTAAAGGCAATACCACAGAGGAAGAAACAAAAGGGGAGGGGCTTCCGTTCTTAAAGTAACACAGTTAAAACAATAACAGAGATTTTCAGTCAGGTAGGAACCCATACAAATAACCAAAGAAAAACATTTTGAGTAATTATAACAACATATAAATTCAACCAGGTTACACTAACCTTTAGAATTAGGCTTATTGGATTTTAATACTTAATAACTCTCTGTCACAGCCTCTAACCCACTGGTGATACACTTGGGCCTGGAGTCTCCTGGCTGGATTCTCCAGGTTGGTCACTGGTCCTGGTCACTGCTGCAGGGTTCTGTCTGGCCCTGGTCACTGCTGCAGGGTTCTGTCTGGCCCTGGTCACTGCTGCAGGGTTCTGTCTGGCCCTGGTCACTGCTGCAGGGTTCTGTCTGGTCCTGGTCACTGCTGCAGGGTTCTGTCTGGTCCTGGTCACTGCTGCAGGGTTCTGTCTGGTCCTGGTCACTGCTGCACGGTTCTGTCTGGTCCTGGTCACTGCTGCAGGGTTCTGTCTGGTCCTGGTCTGGCTCTGGTTTTTGCCTCTTTAAGAAGAACAGGGAGATATTCTCTTTTCTCTTCTTTTGGGCTCTACACAAAATAAGACAGCCTGGTATTTAGACTCCATGACTGTTTGGCAGAGAAAACACTATTTTAACTATTATTTAAACTATAGTTTTTAGTTTTCTGTAGCTAGCTAAAATACTAAATTAAAAATACATTAATTCAAATTAATTAATATAACTAGTGAGGTTATAATTCAAAGCTTTCATATGACATAGCCTACTTACATTTAATCATTATAATACTTAATGGTTTTTCACATATTCTTACCACACACATTTCAAGCAAGAGCTGGGAGATATAAAACATTACAGGGCAGAATGTCACTAAAACATGTTAAAAGAATCTGTGTAAAACACCATCTATCAGCACTAGCATGGCTAATATAATAAACGAGGCACTACGCATGGTTTGTAAAACCTTTTTTTTTTTTTTTCTTTTTAGAAATTTATGACAAGTGCCGCCTCTCATTAGGAAGGTAACAGCGGTTACCGCTGAGCGGTAAAATGTTGGAAATACCTGCAAAACTCCTTGGCGGTGTAACTCTAAATGAGTTTTGGATCAAGCAGGACCCACATGTCAGTTTGACCAATGAACAGCGTCGGGCATCGAGCTGCCTTCAGGGACAGTCGGAAATTACAGTTTTCCTGACAAATCTTTGCCGATCTCATAAGTATTATATTTTAAAATTACAATTTCCAGTGGGGTGGCAGTAGGGGTGGCCAGGGCTCTGTTGGGTGGCAAGTGCCACCCCGGCCACCCCTCTGGCTCCGCCACTGCCAAAGAGAACTGGCACTTTATGAGAAATCTGTAGATATAATGATCGTAGGATCCACAAGGTGGCGGTAATGCGATGAAATGAATGAACGACAGTCATAAAACTCCAAAGAAGAAGAAGCAGACGACGACGACGACGACGAAGACAGAGAGGACGGCACGTGGTCTGTTTTGTTGAACGTTTGAGTGTTTCTCTAATAAATATCTCCAGTCCAGCTTAAACCAGTGAATCAGCGAGCAGTGAACTGCAGAAACATTGACAGAGTTTAAAGAAATCATCGTCCAGTCGGAGGAAGAGATGGATGATCAGCGCAGACTGCTTGATTTCTCCCGGACTCCCCAGATCATCTTACACCGAATAGGTAGGAAACAGCAGCGTTTGGATGCAGGTTAAGGTCTAAATGTCTGCACCTTTCTGCGTGAGGATCATTTTAGTAAACGCTCTTTTCTCGGATAAATGTTTTGTTAGCAGGTAAATGAACGCAGACATCACAATGAGAATGGCTGATTTATGGAGAGAAAATGACCTTTTTATGGCTCTTCCTCCTTTAACTACTGAGTCTTTCTTTTGAAAACGGGAGAAATGTGAACAATGCAGCGCGAGGTTAGTAAAGAAAGCAGCATAAACTAATAATAGCGGTGTTAGAAGCTGTAAAATGTAATAATTTGTAATAAATAAATTGTTGTGGCGATTGTTTGCTTCATACGTAGATAAAAGAAGTTCAATGTCCAAAAAACTTGAAGATTCCTTTTATAGTTTATTTCTCCAGTTTAACAAGCAATAATAAAAATAAACTTTTCATTAGTGATCTGTCGAGTAATCCAGGAGGATTTTAATGAAGCACATAAAACAGAGAATTCACCTAAACCAGAATACAGTTAAAGTTTTTATTTTTAGTAATAAATCGTTGCCCCTGGTGAAACAGCGAATAACAAGCCAATCACAACTCTCTGTTTTCTATTTGTTTCTAGTTTCCTTTTTGATGCAGCCATTGTTTCATACAAACAGATTAATCAGAATCACAAACATCTTTTACTTGTTTATTCATTGTAAGGCTTCGTGTTGTTTTCACGTTGCCTATTTTACATATATTGTCCACTTGATGTCACAGTGGAGCATATGAAGCACCGCGGTGCATCGGCTCATGAGTCCATGATGGGATGGAGTTCCTCAGAGCTTCATGAAGCTTCATCTCACCATCACTACTTTTCATTGTTTCTTCTCCTGCTCT